TGAAAGAGCAGCGATTTGATGATGTACTGTCATTTATACAAACAGATGAGTTTAAAAAGTATTTCCAAGAATGGAATTCCAGACCTGACAAATGTATTAAGTGTAATGGAGAATACTTTGAATAAGGTTGTTTTGTAGTAAAATTTAAATGCATAGCTTTGAAAAAAAATTCAGTTTTTTTAAGGGTATCTCTTATAATTTACTATATGTTATATGCAATATATAATGTGTTGTATATAATAGTATATTTATATGTAATATATACAGTTATATATTACATTATAAATTATATAATGTAAATTTATACAGTGTACTATATAATATTATATAGAATTATATTTGATATGATATATTGATATATATACATATGTATATGCGTGCACAAATGTGTGTGTATATGTGTGTGTTTTAAGCCCTGTTCTAGTGTTGTTGTGGGCACCAAGTCTATTTTCTTTGAAGAATTTTATTATCATTCCTAATTGAAGATCTTGATATTTGCAAACACTTAATCCTTCAGGAATCATCAGTCCTCATGCTTTTTTAGCGCTCTCTCTTTGTATTTACACCTTTACCATTCTAAATACTCTCTATGCTAATTACTTACAAAGTTAAATTTCTAGCCTAGACCTATTCCAGGATCCTTGTATGTGATGGTCTGTGTAAACTAGAAAAACATTCATAACACTCATATATGTATAAGAAAAAGCTTATATAAAAGAGCAATTGAATATTGAGAAAACATCCCAGCCCAGTCAGATCAAGTCCATAAATCCGATATTAGCCTATATGTCCAATACCAATCTGTAAATTCCTCTTCAGACTCATGCAACACATGCGATGACATAGAATGCAGGAAGATCATGACCCAGTGGGTTAAAAGTCTTATGGATCCAGTGGTGGTGTAAGCATCTTAGCTTTGGCAGGGGTCTCCACATGGCTCTATTAGCTCCAGAGCTCTAGCGTAGCTCCATGTGTCTTCTCAACAGGAATGTTTCACAGGGAGTTAGTGTGTGCCACCTCCAATGAGCTATTTATCTTCTTAGCGCCTTCAAATGAGGTCATCAAGCTACGACCTGATTGACAGGCTAAACTCCACCCCTTCATTCTTAAATCTCAAATTGACAACAGATTATGTAACTACCACAGACCACCCCTTGTCAATTTGACACTTTCACACAACTCTTTAGTCATATATAATTTTCAAGTAAACAATAATAAAATCATAACTGTGCCTAAAAGGATAAAATTAAAATGCATTCCATTAAATATGTGCCACCCTCATTTAAATATGACATTCTATATGT